GGTTCACAAAAATGTCCATTAAACAAACAAACAAATGTTCCTAGTTCTCATGGAGGTGGTAAATCTGGGAGAGGGCTGTATTTGAATTGCAGGAAGGAACTTGCGTGATTTAAATATTCCTCCATATAAGCAGAGTCCCTGAACATAGAAAACTAGTATGCCTGGATTCTACTACACAGGCCCCCAGGAAATCTTAGGGAAGTGTGTGTGTTGCTGAGGTGCTCAGATCCCTAACATGGGAAACTGGTTGGCCACTATGAGAAAGGATGCTGGATTAATGGGCCACTGGCCTGATGCAGCAGGCAGGCTCTTCTTGGCTCCTCCTACCCCTCTTCATCCTGCTTGACATAATTACTGGCATTTGGACAGTGTAAATAACAAATCCAGTTAATTTGCACTGGTCTCTGCCTGCCCTCCCCCTGAAGTCCCCCTGAACTCCTGTCGTCCCTGGCCATTGGCCATGCTTGCTGTAGTAGATGGCAGCTGTATTTCAGTAACATCCTCAAGGACAAAGATTCCCCACACCTGATGTAGATGCTCAGTGGCAAAAAGCTTCAGGCTCCTCTGTATGGTACCTCAGATAGATGACAACAGGCTTCAGTAGAATACCTTTGCCACCTGCTACCCCCATCACCCCAACTAGAAAAAACTCACTGGAGCCAATGCTTCCCATGGTTTTTGCAGCTCCAGTGATTCACCATTCCTATCTACCTTGCAATGTGAAAATGTGCATGCGGTCCACAGTCCCATCCCACTGGTCATGTGCAACAGCACAAATGTCTCAGGGGTCCTTGGATTGCAGTGCTCCATTTATCACAAGTTCCAACCGTCAAACAGCAGCAGCAATACCACCCAGGAAATTATTTATTTAATGTATTTATATCTCGCCTTTCTCCCAAGTTGTGATTCAACTTTGAAAGATAATACACTGCTAGTTTGATGTACTGCTATGACCAGAGGCATACACAGGTTCCCTTGTGTCTTTGGCAAGGAGCTATATCCATGCTCCCTGTGCCTTGAGCCCTTGGCAAGGAGATGTACCAGCATGGAGAGGCGCGATTGTTGTGCCTATCCCTGGCCATGACTGCTGCCTTTTTTGAGACAACAATGCAGAAACTTACAGGCATTTGCTCTCCAACAGAAGTCCACTCCTCAGTGCAGTGTAATGGGCATGTGGAATCTGGAATCATACACACGATTGGCAAGGAATTGCATCTGGCCTCTGTACATTCAGATATCCCCATTCACTTCAGTGGAAGGAGCATCACTGGGTGAGAGTCAACAGCCAAGAGCCAATTTCTCCATCAGTAACCGTACATTTATTTATTCCACATGGCAAGGCATTAAAATGATTACACGCAACACCTAGCAATATCATCATGTATATCTGATAAAGAACATGGACCTTTTATTTGTCTTCTAGGAAAGGGAAATGCAGCGCTGACCACTCTGCTACGGTTGGCTCAGCTCCCAAGAATCTGCAAGATGAGGCTGATGGAATGAGAGGCCATTTTGCTGCTGATGCAGAAAGCACAGGTGGAGAATCTCCATTTTGCATCAAGTGAGAGTAGCCGCCCGGGTGGAAGGGCAAGAGGTGGCAAGGTAAGCTTGTTCAAACATACAAAAACAAAACACCTTTCCATGTTTTCACCAAACTTTGGTTTGGGACTGTTGAATTTGCAACAGAATCTGCATCCCAGATGGATAGAAGTGCTACATGTAAAAGAAGTAGGGCAGGCTACATTTCAAAACAGAGCTGCCAGTAAGTAGGGGTGGAATACTGTGCAGACCCTCACCTTTTAAATATTATTAATACATTTTAAAATATTCATAATCAAAATTAGCTCCTTTTTAAAAAAGGAAAAGGAAAAAAGAAAGGACAAACAAACAAACAAACAAACCAGTCTCTGCTGTGTTAAACACAGATTGCAGAGGTGTTTTTTTAAAAAAAGAATTCTAGTCAAATTATTGTTCTGTTTAAAAAGCAACCAACCAATTAAAAACCTTCCACACACAAGTTCTAAGAAATAGGATCCTTCAGCAACATTTTTTTAAAAAAGAATTATATTATTATAACAAATAAAGACCAAAGTAGATTTATTCTTTTTACAGTTAAATATTCCTTGAACCAAACAAAATATTTTACTGTACAAGCAATTGTGCATTTCATTTTTTTAAAAAAAGAAGAAGCATATTATAGTGCAAAGCATAAAATAAAATAAAATCCTCCAGGTCAAATATTTTTGACCGCTTTCATAAAACACATGTGTTTTTATTCACACCTGTTCATGACAATCCCTCATTAACTTGAAAGGGCTGGGCTGACAGAGGTTGTACTTCCTAATGTGGTTTACAAGTGCATATCGAGAACACACTTGATAGTCCTGAATGTTTTTGGTTTTCCTCTTTGAGAAAAACCATCAAGGCTCTATTAGAGGCAGCCAGCAGTTACTTAAAAACAAGCTCTCACCAAAACAATTTGGGGTTGTTCATTTTACACCAGATGCAAATACACATAATGGGCTTGTCAAATGTGTGATGAGCCATGTTAATATGTAGTGACCTATATAGGATGTGGTTTAACATGAGCACAGAGGGATGTTTATAGAACCCAATAAAGTCCTCTGTTTTTCCTCCCCCTTCCTGGACATACACTCCCCCCACACCATAGCACATTGGCCATTATTCCAAATGGGGAGCATCAAACTTCCTGTGTCTTCCCTTCCACCAACGGAAGGGCTGTGCGTGTGTGCACTTGGTTTTATTTGGTCTGGTCTGTACGATGATGAAGGAATTGCGGTCTCCCATTTGAGGTCAGTGGGGTAGTAGAGAGGAAATGCAGGGGAGACCTTTTCAGAGCTGGAGTGATGCTGCCGTGTGCTGGAGCATGGGTTAAGTGATGGATCCAACTTGCTTTGTGGAAGTGAATGAAGTGATAACAAGGCTTTCAAGTTTGCTTGTGACAGATTAGCATAGAGGAAATCAGAAAATGAAGAACCTAACCAAGCAGAGGTTGGAGACATCTTGCCTTTTCTTTGATAAGGTTTCTACTTCATGCTAGCGGTTTAAATTATAATACCTCTTTGCAAGATTGTTTGCATTTCTAATAAAAAGCTAAAGGTGCATTTCAGGCTGGTGTAAGATCTTTTGTTTAGGTTCAATGTGTTTTGCACTTGAATCTAAGCAATCAAAATGAGCACCACTGGATTCAATGGAGCTTACTCACAGGAAATTCTGCAGAGAACTACAGTCATGCTGCTCCTAATAAACTGGGTGTTTGGCTGCTCCCTAGGCGTGTGGCTTTGGGAGCTGACATGATGGGCTCTGGTGCTTCAAAATGTTCCACTGCACTATTGTTTCATGTGATGCCTCGCATGTGCAGAGGAAGGAGGAGTCCTTTATGCCCTGTCATGATCCCACTATGGTGATGGATCATGCCCTTTGCTTTACAACCTCTGTTACAATCAGCAATAAGATACTTGTTCACAATTCTAATACCTGCCTACCTAAAAGCACCTCTTGTCAGAACCCGGGCTGCATACCTAGGAGTTTAAAGTGGGACAGTATAGGCTTTTAACATAGATGTCTACATGGGCTTCTGATAGGAATATAGGAAGCTGCCTCATCCTGAGGCAGATCACTGGGCTCCAACAAACTCTGTATTCTATATCTGGCAGGGTTTCAGACAGGGAGTCTTTCACAACCCTGCCTGGAGATGCCTGCAGGGACTTCCTGCTTGCCTAGCAGATGCTCTGCTACTGAGCCACAGGCCTTCATCATGATCTGGCACGCACTGTGGTGGTAAACTGGTGTCTGGGTCATACCACATCAGGCTGCTGGTCGGGGCTTCAATGACTGAAGGCTCCTCTATGCCAAAATATTCCATCTGTATAGAACACAGGAGTGTTGCTGCTAGCCTTGGACCAGACAGTGACATGCTCATTAGCATAGGAACATAGGAAGCTGCCTTATACAGGCAAGTGCCTCTCAGTTCTTTCAATCTTCAGTTCAGTTCACCGCATTTCCACATTAGTTTGCTTTCACCAGCGTATGGGTGCTCATTTCTCCGAACAGATACATATTTGCAGTTCAAATCTCATGATGCACACTTCCCCCAAATAAACTCATTTTTGTTCACATTTTTTGATTGGAAAACCGAATCACAAAAATCAGAGAAGCATGGATTTTGAAGGATAGCTGTGTTTTAGTCCACGTATCGTTTTGGGAAGTGCGAATTAGGTAGGGTTTGCATTAAAATGTGGACTGAACTGGATTTCTCCCCCTTCCCCAATACCATTTGGTTCATTTAGCTCATTGCTATCTACAGTGACTCTACAGGGTTTCTAACATTTGTCTTTCCAACTCCTTCTCAGTTAAAGCCTGAGATTGAACACAGGATTTTCTGCAGGCAAAGCATATACTCTGCTGCTGAGCTGCACTCCTTTCCTTCTGGGGGGGTCACACGGTCTGAAGGGGCCCTATGAAGCTCTGCTGCATGCCCAGTAGGGCTGCTCTGTGCAGCTGGCAAGGCTTGGCCATTCAGGGTTCCTGATTGTGTGGAACAGACCTATAGCTATTGGGTCTTTTCAGACTAAAGGTGTGTCCTTTGAAAGGCTTCTGGAGGAGTGTGGCCAATGGCACCATCAGTGTCAGGGGAGGACAGATTCATTCCTCGTTTATTCACTGGGTTGTGAGGGGCTTTTCTTGTGAACAGCCCTTAGATGCTAGGTTCTAGTCAACCTTCCCTCTGATTAGTGATGGAAGGTTCTGTCAATTTTGGTACTCTCAATTTCTCATTTTTCCAATTTTACATTCAGTTCTTCATATTTATGAAGCAATTTCTTATTTTTTTTTTTAATCCTCATGAAAATTCATCTGCATTTTAGTTTTGACTAATGCACATTTTTCAAGCAATTTCCCCTAATGCATTTTTGTATGTTATTTTCACTAATAAATTGATTTACACACACACTTTCCCATAATATATGCATTTTTGTAATATTGTTTGGTTGCAGAGCTGCATCACAAAATTCAGATAAGTGCAAGTATTTACGGATGACTGCATTTTGGTTCTCTTATTGCTTCAGAAAGTGCAAATTTGATATATTCAACTTTAAATATGAACTGAATCAAATTTCTCCTCCATACCTATCCCCGATATGCTGGTTTTCTGCTCCCAGAAATGCTTTATTTTAGTGAGAGACCATCTAAATGTAAGTCCCCAGCAGCAGTCTAAAGTGGTACACCTCAGACACAGGTTTAATATTTTAATGAGAACCAGAGCTTTGGCCTTGGTAGGGTACAGCATGCACAGGGCAACTGGGTGATGAATGCATAGGCTCATAAAGGAAGCTGGAATGTACCATTTGTCTGTTTGGTGAAGACGAAAGGCTAGAGATTCAGCCCCAAAACTAGAGAAGGGCTAATTTACGGATGGGCTAAATTTGGTTCCTCTCATTTTCCCCAATCTTAAACTCAGTTCTCCACATTTCTACATAAGTTTGTAAATTCTTTTTAAGTCCTTATGAAAATTCATCAACATTTTACTCTGAATTTTTCCTAATATTGTCTATGTACACAATTTTGTAATTCAATTCCCCCTAATATAATGCATTTTTGCAAGTTATTTTCACTAATATTAGCATTTTGATGGACTCTTTATGCATTTTGCACACATCACCTGGTTGGAGAACTGCTTTATAAAATTTGGAGACATTCAAATTTTGAGCTATGACAGTGTTTGGGTTCTTGTATTTTTTCAGAAAGTGCAAATTATGTAAGTTCACCTTTAAATGTGACATTCAATTTTCTCCCCACCCCTACCTACAGCCAGGGCCATTGGGGGTCTGAGCCCCAGGTCTTTTGCACTTGGTCCCAGATCTCCACCTCCTTTCCTCCTCTCCCCCCCCCTTAAAAATGAAACAAAAATAAAGCCTTGTTTGATGTTGCTTCTTGGGCAGTTAGCTGAGTATGCTCTGGTAACACCCTTTGCATTTACCATCATAATTTGCTCAGAAATTTGTATCTATGTATATAATGTATCAAATGCAAATTTGTGCCAGGAACCTGTTCCTTGAGTACCTAGCAAAAACCCTGCCCACAACCCACTCAGGAACAGATCACCAGCATGATTCCAGCTGCTTTTACTGCTTCTGGATCACACCTGTTGCGATACTGTATGTGCTGCCATTCATGACTCCTCACCCCACCAACTGAATCTGGTGTATTCAGAGTGGTGGTTAAATGGCCATATAGGTTCACGGCTGGCGTACGATATTTTGGTAGTATAAAGCAGGAAATTCAAAATAGCACCCTTTCCCAGTACTAAATTAACTGCAGTCAAATCTGAGGAGCTCCTCCCCCTGGCGTACGAGCCCTGCTAAAAGATTAAGCAACTGCATTCACCTCAATGGAACTTGTGTAGGAGAACTTTCCAGCATATCCTGACATTCCAGATTCGCCACTTGATGTGACTACCTTATGCTGCCTCCTGATAAGGCCACCACTGAATGATAGAAAGGGCATGGTGACATTCTGGTCCTGTCCTCATATTAACTTGGCTTTACATATCTTTCTCAATAGTATCTGAAGAGCTATACACATTCATTCATTCATTCACTCTTAAAATTTCATGACCTTTGAGATGATTGACTAGGGCTTTTCACACTCAGCCACAACACTACAAAGGAACAGAGCATTTCCAATCTGTACATTCCTATGTACATTGCGTACACAATCGAGATTTGTCAAGAGGAACTTTAAGAAGAGGGAGGGAGGGTTTTGTTTTGAAATGTATACAAAGTTCAGCCCATCTCCAGTCTCCATTTGCTGAATTAACTTAACAACCTATATTTTCTACAAGCAATGTGATGCGCATTGGGAAAAGTTGTTGACGGCTCCTTTTCATTATCGCCTCCTTTCTAATGACCAACTAACATAGCACATGTTGGGCATTTTAATTCAGTAAGAGTGAAAGGCATCTGGTTTCCTAGTCCTCTTTCAGTACGGTCTCCAGACAGCTTCATCCATCCTCCCAGGAGTTGTCATGGCTGTAGGTGAGTTACTGTGGCTGCCATCTGCCTCAACGCCGTCATTCTGATTGGCAAGGCTAGGATTAATTAAGTTATTTCCAGCTGATGCACTTGGGCAAGAGGGAAGCATCCTCGTTGGTGAGCGCTCTCCCCCTGCTACCATGGAGAACTGGTATGACCCGGATGATGTGCCATAGTACAAGTGGTAAGGGGAAGGGTTGGTCTGGAAAGGTCCACTCTGGTTTTGGGTGGAGCTGGGGTATGGCGGAGGAAGGTAGGTATGGTGGAACCGAGTGGTGGCGGGCATGCTGGTCATGCTGATGCCACCAATTCCAGTGGCGGAAGGTGAGGCTGTGTAAGGGAAGGCTGCCGACATTGCACCGGGGTAATGCATCCTGGTCTCAGTGAAGCCCGGTAATGCAGAAAAGGACCGGTCAAACTGGCGTGGGTCAGAGAACGGACTCAATTCAGATGTACCTGGTTTGGGGAAAAGAGAAAAGGGAGAGGAGAGAGAGAATGTTACTGTGGGTTGGAGTTTTCAGCCTTCTCCTGGAACATGTGGCACAGCTCATTTTGTGAGTATAGGTCTGGGGTTCCCGTACTGTGGTCCACCACCTACCAGTAGTCCACGACCTGCGTTCAGGTGGTCTCTGCCATGTCTGTGGATTTGTGGTTGAAGACAAGAGACGGCATATCCATTACATTAAACATTCACCTTGGTTTTTAATTGTATTTTTATCGCTTCTTGGGTTTCTCATATCACATTTTCTTGTACGGCAATTTGAATTCTGTAGAATTCAAACTGTAATGCAATGAAATGCAATATATAAAAAGTAAAAGAAGCATTAAAAATACAATTAAGCACCATACAGAATCTTGTACAGAGTGTTATAATTGCCACATCCGGCAGTTCTTAAAAATTCACAATATAATTAAAATCAGCAGTTAAGCTAAAATTACATGTGGAAACATACGGATGGTATTCAACTACCATGTCCTGTCAGTGCACAGATTTCCATTTACACAATGGGACTTCCCCCCCTTCTTCTCCCACAGCCCTCCCCAAATCTGCTCCCAGGGGGTTGGGAAAGTCCCTGAAACAGATTGAGGGGGCGTGCGGCGAGATGAGGGGGAGAACATTCTGTTGCACAAGCAGAGATCCTTGCACAGATGGATAGCAATACATTGAATACTACCCATTAAGTGGTCAGCCAAGACTCTCGGAAATTTCCAAAAGCTATGTCCGCTTTTACATGTTTCATGCCTCAACAAAAAAGTTTTTAGCAGGCTCTGAAAAGAGCACCCTGGCCTGATGTCGCTGCAGAGAGCCCACAAACCCTCTTTCCCACTGTAAGATTCTATGAAATCAAGTTCGGATCACATTGGGGATAGGCAGTGGCTGAGCCTCTCTGTATATTTATAGAAGCATACCCCACCTCCTCCTCCTCCCAATCATTTTAGTGCAGTGCAGTCCAGTCCAGGGCCCTCAACTCAGATGTGTGGGTGTGTGTATTAGTGATACGCTTGCTTCTATTCTAGCTTTTGGCCAGCACAATTGTAAACACAGAAATAAAATTGTTTAGCTGTTCTCTAGGGCTGTGTAGTAAATAGACAGCACAGCCCTCTGACAGCGAGTCCCCAAGCTAGTCAGTCCATCTGCTTTGGCACACATATGCACACACAAACAGAGCAATGCGGAGGGAAATCTGGAGTCTATGCCAGGGTCTTCTGAGGCCTTCGTGTGGGTGGTCTGTTTGTGCTGATAGGCCCAAGGGACAGTGCTGATAAACAGACAGTTGAAAGCTTGCTTACTGTAGGTCATGCTATTACTGGTTGGGGTTTTTTGTTGTTGTTTTGCCTATGAAGGCCTAAAAAAAGAGTGAAGAAATGTAATTATTATTTTTTCTGTACAGCAATATTTAACTGCGGAAAGAGGGATATGGCTGATCCAAGATGGATGCTTTCTCAGTCCCCACAATTCCAGAAGCTGCCCTACCAGTTTAATTGAGGTGACCATCATTCATGTGGATTCCTGTTCTACATTAGCCATTTTAGGGCATTCACCCTATTTGTGTGAAGCAGAAAAATGTAGCAATGTTTGTTGGCCCTTCTGCTTCTGCCATATCCTTGTCACCTGCCCTGTTGCCTTCCATGTGTGAAGGCTCCCTGCGTGGTTTAGAATTCAGATTCCACAGGGTGTGGGATACTTCCTCATGCACAGGTGTACCAACTTGAATAACATATGGGGGGGGCAGGTAAGCCCCGCCACACATAATCAGAAGATGCACACCATCTGAATGGCAGTGGCCATCAACTGGGGGGGGGGAGCTCCCTCAAATACTTTATGGGGGGCAAAGGGACAGTGGCCCCTAGGTGCTGGCTCCTATGTTCATGTAGATCAGACTCCTTGACCCAGAACTTGCTCATTCAATATGTGGAAGAAGTCAGGTCCAGGGTGCAGGGTGCAATAGAGAGGCAGGCACTCTCTCTTGCCTGCAATTTTAATTGAATGATGGGTAGAATTACTGAATAGAGGTATTGTCAGTCTCTATTTCTTTGCTTAATGCAAATAGATGGGATCAAATGAATGCATTGATACCTGGTGATTCCTTCAAGACATACTCAGCCTCCAAAGATACAGAAGTAATGTGTCAAGGAGTTGCAGCCAATCACAAATCCCCTTTTCTCTTGCCAATGGGGACTCCCCACTCCCGCTGGGTCCGAGCTGCATGAAGGGTGGGGTGATGGTGATAGAAATCTCCAGTTTTATCACAGCATGGTAAAGAGGTAAGCCTCCATTCCCCACATTTGACATTCTGATAAATAAATGCCTGCAATTAACAGAAAACAACATGCTACATACCTAGCAAATATCTAGTACGGCCCTTTTGGAGAAAGGGAACTGGGTGTTTGCTACTTGTTCTAAGTAGGGATGGGTGAATCTGTCAATTTTGGTTTCTTTTAGTTTCTCATTCTTCCAACCTTCACTTCCCTGTAGTTCTACATCCGTATGCAAATATGTCTATTTATTTTAGAAAGTCGTGAAAGTTAAGCCACATTTTAGTGTGAATTTCTTCTAAAATAGATGTTTTGTAAGCATTTTTGCCATATACAAATTTTTGAAAGCTATATTCTCTAATGTAATTAATTTTCATATGTTACTTTCACTAATATATGCCTTTATGTGTTTACATTACCTTAATATGTGCATTTTTGTACACATTAGTTGGCTGTAGAGCTGTACTGAAAAATTCAGAGAGCTGCGAATTCTGAAGGCTTGCTCAAGGCCAGGGGTCAGCACCGTGCAGCCCATGGGCCAGATGCAGCCCACAAAGACTGTTTTATTGGCTCACGAGCCACCCCTGAACTGAGACGCCCACTCGGCAAGCCCCCCATGCGCTGCGCTAAATCAGCGCAGCACAGCGCAGGGATTCGCCAAGTGGCGCTGGAAATCGTGTCTGCACATGTCCAGATGCCGAAAATCGCTTCTGTGCAGGCATGATGTTCAGCATCGCACAGCGCCAGTCCAGACCACAGACGATCTCTGTGGGAGCGATCCGGCCCATTGGCTGGTAAACCTTGCCGACCCCTGCTCAAGGCCTTGCGCTTGGGATCTTCTAAAGCATGCATTCTCCCAATAAGCTACAGCTCCCCTCCCAACATATTTAGGGCTGAACCCAGGTTTACTTGGGGGAAGGCCAGAGCTCAGGGGTAGAGCATCTGCTTTGCATGCAGACAGTCCCAGGTTCAATTGCATCTTCAGGTAAGGCCAGGAAAGCTTCCTTGCCTGAAACCATGGCAAGCTGCTGCCTGTCACTGTGGACGGTACTAAGCTAGATGGGTCAGGGGTCTGACTCGGTATAAGGCAACTTCCAACATGTCTATGTGCCATACCTGTATTGTACCTTTCTCCCAGCTGATAGCAGCTTGGGGAGGGGGGAGGATTGAAATTGGGTCAATGGAATTGCCTGTATCGTGGTCCTGATCCAACCTGTCCCCCTTCTGGGATGATTTTAATAAAAGAACTAGGTGTTAAAAAATCCCATCATGGGTCTGTCATTTCACTGCTAGTTTAGCCCTTAACTTAAAAAGGCAAGGAGGAGCGGCAAGACCTGAGACTGATCTTGAGAAATAAATACTTATGATAATGTGATGTGCCCAACATGTTTCAACAATTATTTTCCTTGGGGCAAAAAAGAAGTCTCTTATCTTGATAGCAGCAACCAAAGCAGTGTGCTTGAAGAATGTTCTTTTATTGCAGGGCATCTTTCAAGCAAACTGTTTCAGCTGGGCATATCCTGTGTTATAATATTGCTCCCATCCTCCCCATTCACTAGTCTAAGATATTGCTCATACCTTTTCCTCTCTCTCTTTAATTTTTTGGCTTTTTGGATATTCCTCCCTTTCCCCTCTCTTTTGTGATGAACTTCATTTCCTCGGCTTGTGGCCCCTGTCCAAATCCCGATCTACATTTTGAGCTGACTCATGTTCTCATTGGATCCCGCCTGTGCTTTTGCTCCTGCGCCCCATCCCATCCTCCTCCTCCTCCTCCTTGGCGATGCGGCATTCAGGAATTCCAGGAGATGGATATCTTGAAATAAACGGCAGGCAGGCGCCATTTGCTGCTCGACAGCTTGAACACAGCAAAGGAAGGCCTTTACGCTGCTTCATTATATTTCATGTCGCCATAAATAATATTCCATAAAGAGCAAATTCAAATAAAAAGCTCAGGGCACATTTCCCCTTTTTGTTTTCCTCCCTAACACACTCTTAAAGTTTTTAGAGAGGCCAACTTTTATGAGTCTGAGCTTGCACCGCTTGGCAATTGCTGCCCGTTGCTAATATATAAGCAACAGTGTAAATGTGTTAATTACTGTTGGCTTGCAAAACAAAACAAAAAGGAAGGGGGAGCTATGTAAAGATGCTAGAGGTAGGCTTTTGGTCTATGCATTTCCTCCTGCTACATGCAAAGTGAAAAAGAAATACAGCTGAGAAATATACCAATGTTGCTGCTGCTTCTTGTTTTTAGATAAAGCAAGCAAGTTTCTAATCCTCATGAGCTGTCGTCTTAAAAAAAAAATAATACAAACATTATTCTGATCAAATTTCAAAAACTTTTTTTCAGCAAGCTAAACCACACATGTAAGTTTGACACGTTTTAAAATATGTGTTTTATAAAGTATCTTTCTAAACTGCTGATTTTTTTATTTCTAACATCTGATTTTATCATAATTTTAATGTATATTTTATGTAAGCTGCTTGGAGGTTTTGAAGATGAGGTGCTTTATACATTCTATTAACTATACATACATACATACATACATACATACATACATACATACTAGCTATGGCTAGAGAAGTTAATGACAGAGCTCTGAATGGTTATTGAAATCAAGGCATGGTCGGGGAAGGTGTGCTTCTGGTTATCAGATGCTGGAGACAAGCGACAGCTTTGTCCAACATGACACTGCTTCAAA